TGTAAAAACTATGCGGCAAGTCTTGGGTCTCTAACCTCCATGAACTTCAGATGGGGAAGAATCAACCTCAACATCATTAACTGCACAAAGCTAGTTCCTACGAGGTCAGACATGCTCCCGGCCACTTCGCACACCTTCTCCTACTAATTTTAAACTGCCCCTCCCACAGCCTTCACTACTCCTCTACTGGTTCTCAGAATTCATTGCAAAAGCTTCATAGAACTCACAGACAATACTCATGGACCTTATTAGGGAAGTAACGTAACTGGATCAACAATGGATCTTTCCGCATCAGTCACTTTTCCGAGGATGACACGTGGAGGCTAATCAATCAGTCATGCACTTTATTCGTGTATCTGGAAGACAGTGAGATACGTCTCCAAGACTGCCTTCCTTCTTTGCCTGTGGTCAGAGGTTTTAGACATCTGACCTGTTTATTATACCTGTTGTTGTTAAAAGCGACTCGCAGTGATCCTATGAATAACGGATCTGAGACCTGTTCTATGTTGTAACATCCTTATTACACCGCACTAAGCCCGTTGCCGCAGTCACTGTATCAATCCAGCATGTTCAGGCTCTTCCTCTCTTTCGCTGACCCTCCCTCCGCCTTTCCGAGTATGATGTCCCTTTCTAGGCACTATCCTCTCCTAACAACATGCCCAAAGTATATGAGATGAAACTGCACCATCCTTGCCTCTAGTGAACATTCCGGTTGCACTTTCTCCAAGAAATATCTGTTGGTTCTTTTGGTAGTCCATGGTGTTAGGGAATGTTGGGGGGTGGAGGAGGAGGCCTCTGGCTGGGGCAGAGTGACTAGCTCCGGATAAATACAAGCCTATCTGACCCAACAGCCCTTAATACGGTATAGAGAACACTCTCCTGTGTTTAGCTGTGCTGGCTTGAGAAAGCTCACCACTTGGGAAGAAGGCTGCCACATCTGTTGAGCTGAGAGTGGTCTGCACTAAAGTGAGGTTCTCCTGTCCAATCCGCATGTCCCACATCTACAGATCCATCCCGTCCTGTCTTCCTGTTTACTCGCCTGTATATAAGCGCACAATAAAGTTGAGTCAGCTCTCTGAAGTGCTCCTGGAGTGGTGTGTCTCCATCGTGCTTACCCACGTCAAGGTGTCGCTGCTCCCCACCAGCAAACAGACAGCAACACGTGGAATATTCAGTACTCTTCTCCAACACCACAGCTCAAAATCATTGATTCTTCTGTCAACCTTCTTCAGAGTTGAGCTCTCAGATGTACAGTAGGTGATTAGAAAGACCATGGTTTGAATCATGACTTGGAGAGGATGCAGCCAGAGTACTCTTTGGAGGCTAAGATGATGAGGCTTCACCTCATCACACTTTAGGCATGTTGCTAGGAGTGGGTATTCCTTCAAGAGGGACATGATGCTTGGAAAAGTAGAAGACTGAGAAAGGAAAGGAAGATCCTCAACCAAGTGGATTAATACAGTGACTGCTGCAGTGAGGTCAGGAAGTGTGAGGATGGCACAGGATAGGACAGGGTTCAGATCTGTTGTTCACAGGGTTGCTATAGGTCGTACTCAACTTGACAGCATCTAACAACAACCACCTACATCTTAGGATTTCTCAGGTTATTGGACAATGGCTAAAAATAAGCCTTCTGATTTGGAAACTTAAGCACATTAGGTAGGACTTTTGTTACCAAACAATTTATTCTTCAATTTTTTCTATTCTTCTCTTACAAATGTAATTTTGCCTTAAAAATATCTTAGTATATTTTAAAATCCCTCTAGTCCTTTATATCCTGTCTTAGTTTTCTATTGTTGTACCATAAGTTTATCACTATAAAAGAACGTAATTTGTTATTTATCGTTTCCATAATTTAGGATCTGACTATGCGTTCAGTGAGGTTTTTTCCTTGGAGTCATCATAGTCTTAAATTAAAGTGCAACCCACGGCTCTGATCATCTCAGAGGCCCAGCATCCTTTTCAATGTTTTCTGTTGACAGCCAGTATCAGGTTCTTTGGAATTTTAAGACTTAAGTTCTGGGTTTAATAATAAAATAATAATTAAAAAAAATTTTAGGCACGCAGTGCAAATCCACCAGATGCTCTGCTGGAAAAGGAAGGACAATCTCCTCCTGTACCCGTCAGATCTGATTTGACAGTACACACACACAAAATAATAAAATAAAATTTAAAAAGAAATTTTTAAAAACCACCACGCTTAGAAGCAGGAGTGACATCCACATCTGAAATAGCTTGCCTCTGGAAACTCTGTGAATGTGGAAAAACGATGACATTTACACAAATGTTAAGGTCTTTCATTCAGTGTCACTATGCGTAGTCTACAACACTATGAAGTGGATTGACTCAGTGACTGGGGTAATAGGGGTAGGTGTGTCAGAGACGGTGAGACTGGCACAGGATAGAGCAGGGTTTGGGGCTGGTGCATGTAGGGTCACTGAGTCACAAGGGACTCGATGGCACATAAGAATAACAACAACAAAGACAAAATGGGATGTTTTTCCTGGATGTTGAGAAATTTATAGAGGAGTTTCAGAATATTACTGCTCCAGTTTAATATGGAAATATGTTGTGTAGCTAAAAAAGATTTCCTGCTGGGAGAGACCTCCTTTGACCTTCTCTGGTTGTTTAAAAGCATACCTGCTGTGAAAAGAGTTAAAAATGTAAGATTCCTGCTATTGCTATAACTGCTAAGACTGCCTTCTCAAATTTGCATCTTCGAGATTACACACTTTACAGCAGAAAATAATGCTGACATAAAGACAAACTCCAATGGTCCTAGCACCCACCACAAAATCCTTGGATCTTGCTCCCATAAAGACCCTGGAAGAGATTAGCTGAGAAGATGAATCCAATAGGTAGGACTATGTCCCCAAATCGGCAGGAAGTGGCCAGAATGAATGATTCCCAGCGAAGAATTTTAGGATCCCTCTCTTTCAGCGGGAAATGTTGGTCCGAGAAAATTAAGGAAGCATGGAGAAGAGAGCCAAGGAAGAGGCAGGGAAACAGAAGCAGAGCCTGTCACAACTGCCACGCCTTTGGGCAAACGCCCTTCCCAGCTCCAGAGTGGAGTGCCTGGTCCCATAGACATCATGATCTTAGGGAAACAATACAGCCACCTTAGGACCCTGAAGAAAATCAGTCATCATTCACCATAAAAGCATGAACTGTTACTATCAGTCAAAAACTGTCACTAGATGGAAAAGTAAATGAGTTAAAAGAGAAGACTCTATCAATCCCAGTTCCCAGCCCCCAGATCCTTATTCCTTCTCCCTTTCATAGACTTAAGGGTATTATACTTGCCTGTTTGTATTTATTTCTTCTTGGACTAATAAACTTAACACTAATCACTTCTGTGAGTGTCTGTCTGTGGCAGCATGATCAAAAGAGAATTTCCGAGTTCCCTCTGAGGCGTTCGACCCGGGGAATCTTCTACACTGCTGAGGTTAACATAATACACTGGAGGTCCCGAGTCGATCATCTTTCTTTGGAATAAGCACAGATATTTTCCTTCTGGTTGGTTGGCTAAGTGTCTAACACTCTTGGCATCAGTAAGCAATGACCTTCAGTGCTGCAATCATTTGTTTAAACATTTCAAAATATGTTCAATCAATTCCTGAAGCTTTCTGTGTATCAGCTTCTATATATAGTCAATGCCTCAGAGATGTGCTGGTGGAGGAAGAGAAAGAACAAGAGAAAAAAAGAAGTGAGAAGAGGCAGAAAGGGAGGTGAGGGGCCTCCTAGAAGAGCTGTAACATGGGCCCGTGGTTGTAGCCCTGGAGAAGCAAGAGGTCCAGAAGGAGCCAGTGGTGAAGGCAGAAAATCCGCACAGGAGTGAAGCAAAGAGAACTTAGCTATTACCTTATGGAGGGGTGGGTGTCTGTGAAGGAAATGGGAAAGATTCAGCGTGGAAAAAAACAATGTATTAATTTTGCAAATAAGCCAGTATGAAAGAAAATGTAAAAAGCCAAAACTAAAATTAAAAAAAAAGCCCAAAAATAACAAAACAAAACAAAACATGCTACCCTGGCTGAGTTAATTAGCAGTAGAGAAGCTGGAGGCAGGACGCAGAGAGAAAGCCTGCCCTGCTGAGATGGGCCATTCACAGCACAGAGAAGGGGACAGGCTCGCACAGCCAGGAGGGCCCCCCCCCCGCCAGGAGAGAAGGCCCTGTGGTTAATGAGGAAGAGAGATGTGCTCTCCTGTCAGCGGAAGTCCCCCAGCCTTTCCCCACATTTCTTCCTGATCCTGATCCCCAGTGCAGACTGTTGGCCTTCTCCCCAAGTTGTGCCCTGGTACTTCTCTCAATCCCTATAACTGTTAAAAGGAAGGGGTGAGTTCTGTGTGGCACTTGCAACAAATTCTTGAAGCAGATGACTGGTATAAAGACCCGAGATCTCTCTGACGCCCGCCTCACGGACATCAGCTTGGTGCCGCTGTGCTCTCCCTCATCATCTTGCAATTGGAGGACAGTAGACACTATCTCCACTTTCTCACTACCATTTATGATCATCTTTGAGATAGATCTTAAGCGTTTACTATCACAAGACCAGCAGCGCCTCCAGGAGCCTCCCTCCTCTGTGTCCCTGCTCACAGCCACCCCTCCCCACACACACACACACCCAGGGTCTAAGAGAGGACAGTTCACTGAGTCTTTCACTTCTGCTTCCTCCATAGCCCAGGGCCCAGAGGGACATCCCCCACCCACTCTGCAGCCTGTCCACGGGGCTGATATCGCCCTTCCCTATCCTCCTCCCAAGGCCACAGGAAGGACCAGCCCAGCAAAGCTGGGCCCCTGGAAAGCCGGAGGACCAGTGGGGAGGCAGGCAGGCCTTGGATACAGCGCACAGGCCTTGGAGATCCTGTGGGTCTTGGGTCCTGAAGTTCAATTCAGTTCCCCAGTTCCCCCCCCCCCATCCCTTGTCGCTTCCGCCCTGTGGCTTCCCCTTCATCTCAAGCCCAGAAGCGGCCCCGGCGTCGGGACTGAGTCAGTTGCCAACATGCTGCTTCTTCTGCTGACCATGCTATGGAGAGGTGAGTGGGCTGGTGGGGGGGGGGCACAGGGAGGTCTGGAGGAGCTGAGGACAGGATGAGCTTGCAAGTCAAGCCTCTGTCTCCCCCTCAGGCTCCCTAACTGTGAATCCAGAGTTCCAACTGCAGGTGCAGAGTTCAGTGACGGTGCAGGAGGGTCTGTGTGTCCTCGTGCCCTGTACTGTCAAGTACCCCAAGATAGACTGGATTGACTCGGACCCAGCTCATGGCTACTGGTTCCGAGATAGTCCTGAAACTTACAGAGAGGACCCAGTGGCCACAAATAATCCAGCTAAAGGGGTCCAGTGGGAGACTCGGGGCCGATTCCAGCTCCTTGGAGACCCTCGGAACCACAATTGCTCCTTGGTGATCAGAGACGCTAAGAAGGAAGACACAGGCACGTACTACTTTCGCGTGGAGAGAGGGAATTATGTGAAATTTAACTTCAAGTATCACATGCTCTTCCTGAAGGTGACAGGTATGGAGCTGGCTAGCGCCGAGATGGGCTGGAGATAGTTGGCGGAGGACAGGTCGTGAATCTGGGACTCAGACCTCCCTCTCTCTGCCCCAGACCTCACACAGAAGCCTGACATCTATGCCCCCGAGACCGTGGAGCCCGGGCGCCCGGTGACAATGCTCTGTGTGTTTCCTGGGGACTTTGAGGGGTGTCCACGCCCCGTGTTCTCCTGGACAGGGGCAGCCCTCTCCTCTCAAGGAGCTGAATCACGAAACTATGCCTCTTTCTCCGTGGTCACACTCACGCCGAGAACGTGGGACCACACCATCATACTCACATGTCAAGTGGAATTCGATAACGGCGTGAGCCGCTCAAGCACCGTCCAGCTGAGAGTGGCCCGTGAGTCTGGGGCAGAACTCTAGGGTGTGGGGACCCCTCAGGTCAGTGTACAGGGAGGGGTGACATCACCATGGAAACCAGCTGACTGGAGCTGGGAGGGTCCCCAGGAGGAAAGGTGGGTCTCAGGAAGCTGACTTCCCCTGGGAGGTAATGGAGCTGGTTTTGTGGTCCTGGGGGGGGGGGGGCAGCTGTGTGCCTAGCACTGGCTATCTAGTCCCACAGACGATCAAGGACACTCTGTCTGTGTGTGAGGACAAGGCTCCCCTCAAAGCCAGCTCACGGTCTTGTTGCAGATGCCCCAAAGGACCTTGTCATCAGTTCTTCCAAGGCTGATACATCAGGTACCATGACTGAGAGAGAGAGAGA